ACCACTTCGAGCCCCGAAGCTGACCTGAAAGAAGTAGGGTAACCAGTTTAAGTTTGAAGTAACCGCTCTTATTTTTTTAGTGATCTACGTTACGCGCCTTCACCAAAGGTGTTCTACCTTGCCCAAGTTTGTATGGGAGGGCGTTACTGTCCTGTTTTTAATGTCTATCTGTCTGAGGCATTCCTTTTGTCTGATATGATATTTGCAGACAGATGTTTAGCTCCCTTTCTTCGAAAATACTTTCATTTATTATGAGTTGTGGTGCACCTTCCCGGCACAAAAATACAACCAGGGCTAAAACAAACAGATTAAACTGAATTAACTGAATAAACCTTTAGCTCACCTCCGGATGGTTGAGATGTTTTAAGTTCTGTTCTAACGAGCATGCATCCGAGCACGTTTCGACGCCATTTTGTGCTCCCTTTGTGCTGGCTAGCACGCACGTACTCAGAGTCCCTATTTCAGCCATACAAGCCAGATACGTTGAACAAACTTTTCCCTTGTTCATTACTATTGCATACATTCTAATTAAGTATATTACCTCTTTGAATATATTCCTGAGACCAGTTCTTTTGATTCATGTTTCGTTGTCAGTACCTACACCTTAGGTAGGGTACTGTTTAAGCAGTACTAGAACACATCAAGTTAAGTGGGATTGGTCAAACGTTACGGAATAGTAGCACAACCAGCACACGGCGCTGCAAGTGCGTAATCTTCCCCACTAAATAATCTTTTTTACCCTATGGGTTAATAGGTTTATTTGAAAGAAGTTATCACTGACTGTATGGTACCACGGCAGCAATGGTGTGATACCTTTTAGTAAATAGTACCATGGACGTAGATATAATCACGTCAGTTATTTCGTGTTATCAATGGCTGCGCGTGACTCAAAAAAGCTCAGTGTGGTACACAAAAGGGCGTAATCGTTTGCTATTGGTTGCGCTGTTACCCGTCTAGCAGAGCGCATGAAAACGGACTTAACCGGTTAGTGCGCGTAGAAATGTTTAGTTTCTCTACTAATTCTTGTCTTGCCACCATGTCTCAATGATAAAACGGTTTTCCTTTGGTTTTGCTCACGCGTTGCAAGTTTTAGGGATAGCCAACCACCCTTTTTAGATCAGCGTCACTTCTTTTATCAACGTTTTTCTTTCAGCCTCAGCACGTTTGCTTTAGCGCGAACGTTCTTTTTCTTCTTGCACTTAATGTTGATGATTTATGTAGCCGTTTTCCATATAGAAATCCTAAGTTGTCTGCGCTTTTTGTCGTGACGGATTTTTGACATATTCGTTTCACCCTAACGTCCTTAGGCTACAACACCGCCTCGCTTTCTGTTTCAGGTATGAAAAACAGTGAGATGAAAGTCAGCCAAACGTTCTTACCAAGGTTGGCCTACCATCCTTCGAACGATATCATTGTTTTGCAAAGACACCATGCAGGAGGTGCAGACAACCGGGAACTAGTTCGAGTGGTCGGGACCATCGGTACAGCTGGAAGGGGTAACAGCAGTTTGGATATTTCATTTGTATGTCGGTCAACGACAGGTCCAACGTGCGGTGACCTGTGTAGGTGACCGGTCACAGTTTTGTAACGTTGATAAGCGCTAATATTCACGAAAACCGCGCCATCCCAAGTCTCTACCTAGTGGGAAGGCAGTCGAAGATGAGAAATCAGAGAGAACATAGACCGTGCAACCTACATCTATGCGAGTGTTGTGGTCATTACGGTACAAATGTTAGTTATCTAACGCGGGCATGAGGTTTGAGGTACCTGTCGCACACCAAGTCTCAGGGATCAGAATGAAGCGTAGTTGGATCAGGTAAGCTGAAGATTTCAGGCAATCTAGCTGCTTGCAAGTAGAACGTGAATTGAACGGAAAGATAGAGGGCTTCGATGGGGCCATGAAAAAGCTTGTGTCATTTACAAGGTTGGGCCAAAGTGTTCTCCTATGACCACTATTTGAGTTCGCTGGGCAGGGTGGGAAATGTCGAGACATAGGCAAGTTTCGCTGTGTTGCACGCTGGGCTACCTACCATCCACTGTTTCGGACTATGATCGATCGTCTACCAGCCCGGAGGATGAATGTGTGCCACGGTGGCGTTTCTGCCACTGAATTGGTTGCTGGCTTTAGCCGATAGCAACCGACAGGAGTATGTCATCATCTGCACGATAGTATGCGCAGGTATTTTGTGAAGCCCGAAGCAAAGGATTTTCTGGGGATTCCAGAAGGTGCATTTTTCGCAGAACACAGTCCTTCACTTCAGAACCAGGGTAAGTATAAGACCCTCGACTGTGAACATTCAGAGGGACAGTTTTAGGCTTTGAAACTTTGGGTTATGAACTAAAATACGTTGGTGGTACACTAGAGTTATATTCCTGGGTAGACGGATATTGCCCAGAGATGAGTAAAACCTATCATTATTTCTAGAAACTGTATTCCTTAGTCCGGGCGGCTTCAGCTTCCATCAGTTTTGGTAAGCTTCGTTGTACCGTCACAGCTGAGGACCTGAACCGTATTCGGCTAGCTGAGATCTGGTTACTGCTTGGTACTAGGTGAGCTTTTTTTACTTACCTTTGTATGGGAACAAACCGGCTTGAGACAGATTCATGGGGCTAGACGGTATTAGGCGACTAGATAGGTAGTCATGGTTAGATAGTACTGTTTGTTATCGAAGCGTTTAAATCTCCGTGAGGTTTCGCGCACAGATTTGTTATCCGTGACAGCACTTAAGGATACCATAGTCGGAGACAAAGCTAATGAGGTGGGTCGCAAAGACCGGTCTTGTTGTGCGAGATGAGTGGTTTGACTGCTTCGGGGCCGCTGTAGCGCATCACCAAGACTTATGTTATCATCTACTTCTGGGGATATTACATTTATACAAGTTGATGGTACGAAGCTGCCATCTGTTATGCTTACTGTTGTATTTAAGAGTTTTTTAATGAAAGCTGAGGAAGAGGCAGGGGTCAGCTTTCTTCTTTGTAACTCGTTGGCTACGATCCACTTTCAGGATCTTGCGGTTTAGGCGAAGTCGGAGGACTGCGGAATTTCCTTGTGCGACGATTACATGGAGCTAGGTTGGGAGATATCTTGGCCTTGCCACGTGGCGTTGTGGATGCTGTAACTCTCTGAGAGCCTGAAAAGCGTGTTATGCCTTGCGGTTAATTAGGCTGAAATAGAACAGGACACGGGAACCTATGTACACCGTAAAGTATTATTCCTTGTTCGTTTCATAACCAGCAGGACCTTCGGCAGTTTTCAGCTCACCTTAACGACATTCCGCCGGTACCACTCAGGGCTCAAGTCACGTAGATATTTTGAGATGCATCAACGTGATGAAGCCTGTAAACCGGCTTCTCTCATGTTGAAATTTTTTTCAAAGTGACAATAAAGCATTTATCTATTTATTTACTCTTTACCTTGGGCGACGAGCATTACAAGCTGAGTCGTTCGAGCTGCATGCTTGTAAACATTCGGTTAAACTCGGCCATTGGAAAATTGTCAGGGGCGTTGAAGACCACTGAAGTAAAGAAGGATCGCATTCGGCTGCTTACCTCACTGGCTAAAAAGTCACACGATCTCTCGCATTTTAATAGACCATCAAGTGGGGAGTCGCTTTTATGGCCTAACATATATCGTTGGAGGGAGGCGTTCCACCTTACAATGTATTTCCCCAACTGCTTTCGAGAATTCCAGAATATCAGACTTGAATCCATCAACATAACCGTAGATGCCAACCAAGAGATCGGGTATCTTTAGTGATGGACTGCAGTCGGTGGTGTGGCCCTTAAAGCTGGGTGATGGATCAAGTGACCTCAGTCTTTCACACTAGTGCCCTCCTTTCAACTCAGGCTGTTGACACCCGTCTTCATTCCCAGAGATGCGAGCAAAAGATGTCAAAAACATGAATAAAGCCGTGGTGTAGGGTATATAGATAACAGGTTGAATAAAAGCAGATATTAGGTATCAGCTAACTTCAATAGAGTCAAGGGTTAGGAAACTACAGTAACTCTCCTTGGCAGCTAACTTCTTGCTATCCTGAAGTCGAGATAGATCTATGTAACTTCAGCTTTTGGAACGCAGATTCGGGATTTCTTGCCTTGGTGGTGGTCTGAAATCTGCAGAACTAGAAGAGAAATTGTACACCGACAAGGAATTGAACACCCTTTCAGGAAGCAGATAAAAATCACGTGCAATGGAACAGAACAACGGAGGCGTCGTAGATCACGACTTAGAGAAGACTGTGAATTGTGACGTTCCAGCAGCTAAAGCGTCGATGACGTCATAGTCGCTTTGCAGAGCATTTAGATGGGTTGAAAATGCAACCTGCAAGTGTAAGGTCTCATTTATACTGTTGCACTCACACATGGTCTTTGCTTCCAAACAAAGTTGACACTTCGAAAATGGTCCACAGAGTCACCACTAAACTGATAACATCTTGTCCATCTTCCGTGTGAAGAATGATTAGCATGGCCAAATCTCTTCCGCTTCTCGTGTCGCGAGAAAAACGCTAATTGACTTTAGCCATTAGAAATGTGAATAACGACTCATATTGATTTACCTAATTTTGTTGTACTCTCTGGGGCCGATTGCCTTAAAGGCCACTGACAGAAAGATCTGAAAAGCCACGGTCATATCACCTCCGGGAGGAATACTGGCTGTCTTGTGGTGATTAAAGGCCAGAATCATCCACTGTAACAAGTAGAAGTAGCAACTCCGGTGAAAAACTGTATCGTCACAGCGATTTCTGGAAGGATTAATTCATGTAAGTGACCTACCATTCGTTTCACAGCTTAAGGGATGCGTGTCTGAAACTTTGAATAATTCACTTTAGCAGTGTTTGCTCAAGAGATAGTGACAAGAAACAAATTAAAATGTATTCTAAATCCTCATGTTGTCAAACTGAAATGCTAACAATTTCCGATTCAACATTGTCTGATTACGGTGGGTTCTTTGAAAACCCATCAGATTTGCGTAGCCGGCGGCTGTTTCGAATTCATTGAAGATGTATTTATACAACATCACGTTGCAACGTGCGACAGGTATTACTCATGCAGTTCATGGAAATTTCTCGGGAACAAAGCAGCAGGAAATAGCAGTAGCAAGGGGCAAAATAATCGAGCTCCTCAGACCGGACCCAAATACCGGGAAAGTGTATACATTACTAACGTGCGAGGCATTTGGGATAGTAAGATCGTTTATGCCGTTTCGTCTGACCGGTAGTAGCAAAGGTAAGTTTGATTGGCGGTCGTCATTTTTTTCAGATTATTTAATTGTGGGGTCTGACTCCGGAAGAGTTGTCGTTTTGGAGTACATACCATCCAAAAATATTTTTGAAAAAGTACAACAGGAGACGTTTGGGAAAAGCGGTTGCAGACGGATTGTGCCGGGGCAGTACTTAGCAGTTAATCCCAAAGGAAGAGCTTTCATGATAGGTGCTGTTGAGAAGCAAAAGTTAGTTTATATCATGAATAGGGATTCACAGGCAAGACTTACCATATCTTCTCCGTTGGAAGCACATAAATCAAACACTTTAGTCTATCACATGGTAGGAGTAGATGTTGGGTTTGACAACCCCCTATTTGCATGTATTGAGATGGATTATGAAGATGCTGACCAAGATTCCACTGGTGAAGCTGCTCGTGGAGCAAATCAGCTATTGACTTATTATGAATTAGATCTTGGGCTAAACCATGTTGTTCGAAAATATTCAGAACCATTGGAAGAACATGCAAACTTCTTGATTGCTGTACCTGGCGGTAATGAAGGTCCTTCTGGCATACTGATTTGTTCTGAAAACTACATCACATACAAAAATTTTGGCGACCAACCTGATATACGCTGTCCAATACCTCAGCGGAGAAATGATCTTGATGATCCAGACAGGGGTATTTTATTTGTGTGTAGTGCATCTCACAAAACAAAGGTTTGATTGCATTTTATACTGACTTTGTAGAATTTATTCTTTTTCTTAGCTCAGACAGAACAAGGGGACATTTTTAAGATAAATCTCGAAGTAGACGATGATATGGTGACTGAAATAAAGCTTAAGTATTTCGACACTGTTCCAGTTGCTGCAGCTATGTGTGTTTTAAAAACTGGGTTTTTATTTGTCGCATCAGAATTTGGAAATCAGTACGTTAAATTCATATTTAATGTCTTTCCTAGTTGTCTTTACCAAATAGCTCACCTTGGTGATGATGATGATGAGCCTGAATTTTCTTCAGCTATGCCTCTAGAAGAAGGAGACACATTCTATTTTGCGCCTAGACCACTTAAAAATCTCATTGAAGTTGATGTTTTGGAGAATTTATCTCCTATTATGAGTTGCCATGTAAGCATTTGATATTTTAGTTCATAATGTCTAGATTGCTGATTTCGCCAATGAAGACACTCCACAGTTAGCTGTGTTGTGTGGACGAGGGCCTGGATCAACATTTAGACTTTTAAGACATGGCTTAGAAGTGTCTGAAATGGCAAAGTCGGACCTTCCAGGTAATCCCAACGCAGTGTGGACAGTCAAACGTAATACAGAAGGTAAGTGAAGCAATTGATAAAATAGGTTTTCTTCATGAAATTGAAGTTTGAATTGGTAAACTCTCATAATACGTCTGGTTTTATAGGGAGCTACCACTGGAATTACCGGTGAGTCGTTTGTTTTTACAAAAGTTAAGGTAAAGCGGGGAATGTTATTCCGTTTTGATAACTGTTGTCCTCTATCGACTTAAATGTCATTTTGGGATATAAGGGTCGGTAACGTAGACGATGTCTTCTCGCTTCACTCTCTGATTTATTTTCTTGTTTAGAAATAACAGGATGTGGATTAGGTTGTTTCATAGTCTTAGTGTAGAAGATTAATGTAGTAGATTCTCGTTTGTTTATTCTTGGTACACTGTTTTGTGTGATGTCTAACTACTTTTTCGACAATGGCTCGACCAGGCTCATCTAAGAGAATTTTACATCGATTTCTTAAGATACTAAGCTTTAATGGTTTTCACCATAAAATTCAGGGGAAATGTGATTCACTGACTTGAACATTCAACTTTCAAGCAATAGGTACTCGGTTCGAATCCCACTCCATCTATTTCTCTCTTTGTAACTGAGTAATATCATAAGCTCACACACCGTATGCTGTTTTAAACCTAGTGCGTAAACACACTAGTTTGTGTTAGATCACAGCATTGAACTCAGAAGTGTGAGTCCTTCCTTCAATATTGAAGTTAAATTTTGTTAAGGTAAACTATATATCATGTGCCTCTTATTTATGAATGATCATTTTGAGCCTCATTGTGATAGTGGCTTTTATACCTATGAGATCATACTGAAAATGTAGTCTGTATTCGTATTTCCTTTCCCAACTGTACGTGCAAATCAGGATGTTCTGCACTTACTGCTTGAAATCAATTTCTAGTTCACCCTGTTTGATATGGGCACCGACTTATTCAGTTTTTTAGTGCATAGTACTTAGGCCAGTTTGAAAAAAAGTACAGCTACAACGAAGCCCAGGGTAAGTGGGTCCCGTGGCGCTTGTTATAAAACTTTTGTGGTTATAAGTAAGTTTTTTTATCAACTGTACAATAGTGAGTGACGTAGTTGCAAAGGGGTATTATGGTTAGGTCCACTGGTTGAAAGTCTAGTATCAAGTCTGGCAAAGCATATATCACAATAACAAAAGTTTCTCCTGTCATTAGCTACACCAGTATACCTTAGGGTTCTGTCCAACTTACTTTTGTTTGGCACCCAGTTAATGTCATCCGCCCTTAACTACTGAAATTCTGTTGTGTGATCGTGAAAACAAGTTTGTCTAAATTGACTGTTACTGACTTATTTACGAGCATCATGACTTGGGCCCATGTAGGCTTTGGTGAAAACCTCAGTAGGTAAGTAGCGCCGAGTCAGATTGTCTTTTGACTGATAATATTTTGGCTGAAATAAAAAGAGTGCTCGTTCAGTTTTTTCGTCTTTCACTGTGTTGTATTGGGAACCAAGAAAGCCTTGATATTCTTGAGATTTTTGTTCATAGGAGCTAGTTTTTTCCGTCTAAATTTTAAGTTTGCAAAAATAAAACATTAAGCCTTAATATTTGTTGGTTATTATTTGATGATGAAGTTCACTGAAATTACACTGGTTGTTGTTTTCAGAGGAATACGATGCTTACATAATAGTGTCATTCGTCAATGCAACGTTGGTGTTGTCCATTGGAGAAACAGTGGAGGAAGTTACTGATTCAGGGTTTTTAGGTACAACTCCTACTCTCACTTGTTCTCAGTTGGGTGATGATGCTCTTGTACAAGTTTATCCTGATGGAATTCGTCATATACGAGCTGATAAAAGAGTGAATGTATGGCGTGCACCCGGGAAAAAAGCAATTACGAAGTGTGCCGTCAATCGTCGACAAGTGGTTATAGCACTTACAGGTGGTGAACTAGTCTATTTTGAAATGGATATGACAGGTCAATTAAATGAATATACGGAGCGGAAGGAAATGCCAGCAGATGTTATTTGCATGGCGCTTGGACGAATCCCAACGAATGAACAGCGTTCACGATTTCTTGCCGTTGGTCTGGCCGATAATACTGTTCGCATTTTGTCACTGGACCCTTCAGTGAGTTTTTCAAAGCACAATGCAAACACTTTTAAAATTATTTGATAGTCATGTATGTTACAGCTTTTCAAGCTTATGAAACATTTATTTATTTGAACTGAAAAGCTTTTGAAAAAATATCGGTCAGTAGATAAATATCTGTCTACAAAAGAGAACCCATTATTTTTTAAGTTATGTGAGGTGTTTTAAGGACCGTGGTCCTTGAGGTTTCTTCTTGACCTCCACTGAGATGTATCACTGTAAACTAAGCATAAAACTGAAAACTTTGAATATTATGTTGCAATAAGCCAGCTAGATTGATATACCAAGTTTTCTTCCCAGCTCTCCAGGTGTGTTTTGGAGTTTATAACATGGTGTACTGTCATCTTTCTTAAAGATTATTATTCGTCTGTTAGTAAACTTGTTGTCGACGTCCTTAATCGACTGTGGGAGCTTTTCCAGCCACTTACTGAAACAACTACCATTCTATCCTCACTGGTATATTGTAACTAATAGGTCTTGTGATCTTTGCCCAAGTTATTTTCATTTGTAGAACTGACAGGCAACATTGTACATAATATCCTCTAGAAACAAATAGGCACCAAAAAGTCGCAAGAAACTCCTAATACTTCGGTGGTTATGAGTTAAATATTCATCTAAGCAATAAATCTTTTCATCCATATTTTCTCTCTTATAGATAGATGGTCAATATTAACTGTAGCTCGCTTTGATATTTAGTTCCAGCAATATATACAAACAATTTAATTGATTTCCAGAATGCAATACAAGTCTAGCCTGTATCATAGTGAACCATGCAAATATTTCAATAGGAGGCATTGTCGAGTTTACACCCATTATCAACGTTTCTGTATAATCTTGAGGTAGCAGGTAGCATACTGACGGCCGTGTGTGACCGGCCTCAGGCAGATTTTCCGTGGTTTTCGCTGTCACTCACTAACTCTTCGTTTTCGAGTACTAGCCATCCATAGTGTGGGCAGCTGCGAAGTGTCAGCCGCCCTCGCACATCTGTCTGAACTCAAGTTCCCTCAGATTACTACCTAGCTTCCAAAATCTTACCTTCTAATTTACCTTTACTTCTCTCGATCAGTAATCCTACATCATCTTTAATCTCTTCACGCTCCGAAGTCCTCAACAATTCTCTGGTTTCACAAAACAGCAACCTTGGTCTCCAAATTAGAGCTTTCACTGCCCACACGCTTCATCAGATCGACCAACAAGCACCTCAGCCTCGATAGGTTGGTGGCCTAAAAATCTCTACACGTAACAAAAGGCTCGACTGGCATTCTCCACCTTACGCCATCTGTGACGCCGCTGATATATCTGGTTGCCTACTAAAGGTCGACTGTACTATGCTGCAACTCGTTCTGTTCTGCTGCATGACTGTAGAACACGACCATTGAAGCTAGAGAACGTAGGAAGGCTTCTGATGTTTGACCACGGTTCCCTTCGTAACATAGGCCGTGCAGGTGGCAGGACCAGACGGACTAACTCCTGAGGTATACAAGGATGGTGGTAAGGTACTCTTGGTCAGGTTAACGGAAGGGTTAACCAGTACATGGGAATCAAATGCAATCCCCTCTGACTGGTCTAAATCACTCACTATTCCAGTCTTCGAGAAAGGCGAGAAGTCCTCTTGTGATAACCACAGAGGAATCAACCTGACGAACATAGTGTCTAATCTTCTAAACTCCATAATTCTTCGACACCTGAATGGAGCTTGGAAACAGCAAACCCGAGAAAACCAGGCAGGCAAGCTTTAGACCTGGTCGCGGGTGTATCAACTAAATATTCATACTACGCCAGGTTTTGGAACATAGACGCGCTTACCAACGCCCGACACTATCTGTATTTGTCGACCTGAAGGTGGCATTCGACTCCTTTGATCGAGAAGTCTTATGGCAATGTCTCTCACTGAAAGGCGTGTCGAGCAAGTACATCACCTTATTGAAGGCTCTCCACTCGAACACTTGTGGGGGTGTTAGAGTCTATCTATAGTGAGATGTACGGGGAGCTGTGGTCGTCGAGTGGTGTCCATCAAGGGTGCCCATTGTCTCCATTCTTATTCAATTTTATCATAGATATTCTTATGGAGGTCTCACTCTCGTCACCTGACTACACAGATGTTGACCTAATCGGTGGAGAGTTGTTGTTAGACCTAGAATATGCAGATGACATAGTGCTGTTAGGTGAAGACGCTGACAAGATGCAGAGTCTTCTGAACACTTTGAGTGGGAATTTGAGAATGTTTGGAATGCGTTTGTCACCATCGAAATGCAAATTGTTGCTCCAAGGTTGGTCTTCAACGGTGCCACGGCTAACAGTAGAGAGTGTAGTGGTTGAGTGTGTTGACCACTTCACTTACATGGGAAGTAGGATTAGCCCTGGTGGCTGGCTCAGTGGTGATGAAATCTCTGCAGGGACACAACAGGTTCGATTGGCTTTCGCCAACTTACACCACCTATGGCGTCGCCGTGATATCCGTTTGTCTATTAAGGGTCGCGTGTACTGCACCTGCACAGCGGTCCGCTCCGTTCTACTATATGGCTGTGAAACATGGCCATTGAAGGTGGAAGACATGAGAAGGCTTGAGGTGTTTGACCACCGTTGCCCTTGTAGTATAAGCCGTGTTTTGTGTTGTCACGACGTGAGTAATGCAGAAGTCAGGTGTATAGTTTTAGAGAGAAGAGGTAAGTTAGTTGACACGGTTGTGAACCTTCATCGACTGAGATGATTGGGACATGTGTTACGTGTTCCTAGTCACTGATTGCCTCATCACACAATGTTGGTTGAGGTAGGTCCAGGCTGGAAAAAGGCCGAAGGTGGCCAGACTAAAATATGGCACCAATGTATGAAGTCTTTGACTGTTGGTTTTATCCATGTGGGGCGATTCAGACTAGGTGGTTGGAGTCGGCGGGACAAGAGGAACCGGTAGTTGGAGACTCTAGGTGATATATCTGAGAACCGATGTCAGTGGTGCAGATGTACACACACATTATCCTCATCTTAACGACGCTATACCGAATCTCACCATTTTGTCATTCTTCCTTTCTCTCTTTGAGTACATTATATATATTTTTTGACTGAGTTTTCTTTTCTTCATCTTCCACTTCACTGCCTTTTTACTTGAGGTATTGATATTAGCTGTAGCAACTCGAAATGTTACGCAGTAATGCCTGGTCCTATGTTGATAGATGGTGATGAAAGGCCATGCGTCATGGTGCCACCACGTCAGTATCGCGAAAGTCAGGTGCAGTGTTTTAGGTAGGAGAGAAAAGTCAGTTGATGAGGTCGTAACCTTTGATTGACTAAGATGACTAGGGCATGTTTACGCATGCCTAGTCACAATCTGCCTCGTCGTGCAATGTTAGGTGAAGTAGTTTCAGGCTGGAAAAAAGCTATGGACTACCAGATGAAAATGTAGCATCACTGCTTGAAGTCCTTGATTGTTGGTTAGAGCCACTTGAAAACAGACTAGGTGATATAGCTCAGAATCGATGTCTGTGGTACAGATGTATCCTTTACACTAAATTCAGCATCTTCTCATTCCTCCCTCCCCTCTCTTGCTGCTTTCTTCTGTTTTGGACCACTTCTTTTCCTCTTTCATCTTCCTGCTTTGTTACTTGTTGTGCTGATATGAAGTGTGGCAACTTAGATCGTTACACAGTAATACCTGGTCCTATGCTGATATTAGTTGATTGCATTTTGTTGTAACAACCACTTGTTTCTTGCCGGCACTAACTTCAAGCATAAGGAGAGCCACTGTCTCATATGGCGTCCGCCGACATCAAACCAGCGGTGAATACAGATAAATCATATTGCTATAAGACATCGTTGAGGAGAATCAGTGGAGGGTTGCCGCTCTTTCTGGAATACCTGTTTAGACTCTGATCACGCGGTAGTACGGGTTCGTGTGTGTCTGCGTCTTGCTGGTCGCAGAAAACAGACAGCAATGGAGCATTCGTGTACTCGCCTGGAAGATGAAGCGAAGTGCGTATTTAGAGGGGAGATGAGTAAGGATTTATCTTGCTTCCTAAGGAAACCTGGCAATATGTTAAGTTTGCTGTAGAACCCAAGATAAACACGATAATCTTTTGCCAGTGTTTGGCGAAAGCCATTGTGTTTTCGCGTTGTCATCCGGACTGATTGGTGGAAGAGTACTGGTTGCTGAAACTATGGAAAGCAGAATTATGTGACGATTTACAGCCCGAAGGTTTTAAGGATGGAGGTAAGAAATCACTGGTTAGAGTAACTGAGGTACCAGGTGGTGTATGTGAATTAGAGGTAGTGCTGTGAAACCGGTCTACTTCACCGGTCATTCCAGTCTAAAGGAAGGAGGATAAATCTTGTGACAAGCATTTGGGTCATTTTGACTGGTATGGTATCCAAGATCTTTGGGTCGATAGCTATCCGACGCCAAAATAGAGCTGAAGAACCGCAAACTGGAGAAAACCGAGAGGTATGTTTCAAATCTAGATGAGGTTGTGCCGATCATATTTTCATCCTTCGTCAGGTTCTGAAACCACAGGAAAGCACTGGCTGCCAACACTTGTCATATTTCTTGACCTGGAGGTGGCACTTGACTTTCGACTGTGATATGTTCTGGCATTGTCTGACTGAAAGGAGTTCCGAGCCAGCATATAATGCTAGTCAAAGCTCCTCACGCAGCTGTGTAAGGGGTTATGGAGAGTTGCCATCTGAATAGACGATAACTAATGGTCAAGACGTAGCAACAGTTCGTGAACTCTCAAACTATCGGTCTTAGCCGTACAAGAGTGTATAAGCTACCTGATAGGGGTCCCTGATACTATATAAATCGATGATTGAGACTCTTGGTTAAATGTCTGAAAATCGGTCACAGTGGCGTGAATGTTTTCACTATTTGACGTTCACTGAAGCTTAAACATTTTCACTAACCTTCTTGTTGATCCTTATGCCAAACACCTTTGTCTGCTTTGATTTCATTCTTTCTCTAGCCATTGTGGAATAAGGGAAATTTCAACAAACGCAACTGTTCGCTTTATCTCGACTAAGGCTGTTTCACTGTTATTGTTTGTAGCCTTTTCATTCAGAGAAATATGAAGGCGGTGTAGATAGGTGATAGAGTACAAATAGTCACTGTGGCGGTCATTATTTCTATATCAACTTTCTGAATCGTCTCAGTTGCTTCTTAGTCGATTGAGATGACTTGGACATGTACGGCGCATGTTTATCCATCACCTACTTCGACGTGCCATGTTAGGGAAAGTTGGAAGAGGGTTCAGTCTCCAGACCAAGATCTGGCACCAGTCGATGAAGTCTCTCACTGTTAGTCTGAGTCGTATGCGTAGATGTAGACTGTCTGGTTAGAGTGCCTAAGACAACATGAATCGTTGGTTGAGGACAGTGATGACATGGCTGAAAATTCGTCACAATGGTGCAGATGTATTCACTCCTTGATATCTTGTAAAGCTTGAATATTCGCACCAACCGTTATCTTCAGATTACTTTCTCTCTCGTGCTACTTTACTTTGATATCATGTTGATTTTGTCAGTCAGTCTTCTACACCACAATCATTGTCGAGTGGTCTTGTCGTTATTCGAAAGTAGTGTAAAGGCGGTCAGTTTACAATATATATGGGGGTATGGAATGAAAGAATTCGGTAGTTTAGTTATTTGTCAATGGTGTCACGTTGTTGATATTGAATTCAGTAAGTTGTGCCACTTTGTGGCTTGTGGTGCTGACTGACTGACAAAATCAACGTAGAACCTCTCTCACGCACATACGTGCATAGGTTCAAGTTGTCATACTTCACAGTAACATACAAAGAACAAGTGGATAGAAAAAGAGTGATATCAAAGTAGATAAAGTAGCACGAGAGAGAAAGTAATCTGAAGATAACGGTTGGTGCGAATATTCAAGCTTTACAAGATATCAAGGAGTGAATACATCTGCACCATTGTGACGAATTTTCAGCCATGTCAACAGCTGTCCTCAACCAACGATTCATGTTGTCTTAAGCACTCTAACCAGACAGTCTACATCTACGCATACGACTCAGACCAACAGTAAGAGACTTCATCGACTGGTGCCAGATCTTGGTCTGGAGACTGAACCCTCTTCCAACTTTCCCTAACATGGCACGTCGAAGTAGGTGATGGATAAACATGCGCCGTACATGTCCAAGCCATCTCAGTGGACTCGCCTGACCCTAACACTGCTGACCCGGTGATTCCTCCAAACGCGGGCTATGTTACGAAGACATCTATTATAAAAACCTTGCAACTGCTTTATACTTCTAACGGCCATGTCTTACATTCTTAGTACAGGACAGAACGGATTTTTATGGGATGTATGTCTTGTTTTTCGTTTTGTACTAGTTTTTTGTTAAAATATTAATAATGGCTAACAGATGGATACCAATAGGTGATTCAAAGGAATAGAGTAGAATATACATGTAGTTTCAGTTTATCCGTTGAAAGTTTAAGTGATTCATTTGTCTGTTATCATCTATCAGTAGGTTTTTTGGATTATGACTATTACTGCTTTCTTGCATCTCATAGCATTTCGTTTACTTTGGACATTTCAGGATTGTCTTGCGCCTCTAACAATGCAAGGAATACCATCCACTCCGGAATCTTTGTGTATAGTTGAAATGGGGACAAGTGAACCATCTCAGTCCACAGATGAGGATGACTCAAATGCAATACCGTCTGGTGGTATTCTTTATTTGAACATCGGTTTGATTAATGGTGTGTTGTTGCGTGTTATTCTTGACCCAGTTACTGGTGAGCTTTCCGACACACGCACTCGATACTTGGGTACTCGTCCTGTGAAGTTGTTTCGTATAACAATGCAAGGTGGGGAAGCGGTTTTATCAGTTTCCAGTCGATCATGGCTTAGCTATGCTTATCAGAATCGTTTTCATCTAATCCCCCTATCATATGAAGCATTGGAGTATGCATCTGGTTTCTCCTCTGAACAGTGTCCTGAGGGTATTGTAGCAATTTGTAATAATTCTTTACGGTAAGCGAGTGTTTTTATTTTTATTTTTCGACCATCAGAAAAAAAAATGAGTGTGCGTCTTTTTCAACTTCTGATATTCCACTGTAAATTCTAGGTGACATCAAATTTTTTAAAAGTTATCATCCTTTTAATCATAGTGAATTAAGTTTGTTACATAAACCTTGGTTTTAGATGGACTTATAGTTAGGTTTGCTACACTATACATCATGCCAACTGAAGTAAATTCATGCGCTACTTAATGATTCGCACCTATTGTTTGAGAGGCTAGTGAGATAATAACTACGAATTACTCAACCTTTGATAAACAGAGCAGAGTTTAAACACGTGCGTGATTCACTGTTCAGAGAACTCGAAGGCAGTCAACTGTATCAACTGCTGAAATTAACCAAATAGATTTCATTATTTCGGCTGAAAAGATAGTTTTTTCTTCATAAATAGCTAAACCTAGTTGACCATTTCAGTAGTTGTTAGAATGGCGTTTAGAGTCACTCATGTTCGAAAGTACCTAATGATAGGCCAATGTGCTATAGCTCCGTAAATAAAGTTTATCTGTTTCATATTACGTAGATTAGATGTATAGGACTGACAAGCGTGTTTAAGTGCATATAAGTTGGTATAACATAGTATTAGTTAGTACTTTGCCAATTTTGACTGGCCTGTTTGTGGTGGACATTGTTGGTTGGTTGGTAGGTATAGAAGTGGTCAGTCAGTCCCATCACCTGTGACGATGTCAAGCTGACCATGTAATTGTGTGGTTGGATATTTTAATTATTAAAGGGAATGATTATGAAATTCTCTCATCTAGTTGTCATCTCATCTCCACAATTGTTTAGTGTTCAAGCACCTAACCTGATACCCCGTATACTTATCAGTTCTTTTTTGTGCAAGACTATATGTTTAGATTTTCGACCATTTTGTTCCTAAACGTTTGATGGCTTAACTTAGTGTATTACTACTTAGAATTAACCAAGTTCATCCTTCTCTCTCAGTAATTAGTTTACTAAACAGTTAAGGGGGAACTGGCGACTTTTCACAATACACTAATTGAAAATGGCCATTCTGATAGATTCATAAAGAAACATGACTACAAAAATGACAAGAAAAAATGTCCAACGGTTAACAGAAAACCGCTATGCATTCGGGTACAATTTAGAGATGACGTTCAGCAAGATACTAATTCCCAAACAACGCAGGTCAATTCAGAGGACTTTTAATACTCGTAAATTACAAACTTCGTTTTCCCCATACCCACTGGTGACACCTAGACTGTAAGATAAATCTCCTAGACTAGCCACTTCGTGTTGTATTTATCAGTTCGACTGCTCTTGTGCAGCCAGTTACGTCGGTCGCTGCTCTAGGAATTTAATTTACCGTGCTCGCGAACATTTTTGATCGTGATTAAGTAAAGGTGTTCTAAAGACCATTACCAGCTCTATATTAGCACCCTTGCTTGAAACGAATCATAAAGTGGATATAAATGAGTCGTTTTTCGTTCTGTACCGGGTCCCCATCAACTTGCCAAAAGGTACCTGTCTCAGGATCCTTAAAACTACAAAAGCAGTAGTAATCAGGATCAAACAACCTCAGTTGTGTGTTCAAAAGAAGCATGTGTTGTTACTACATTTACCATGGCGCTACTCTTGACGTACATACTCGTTCACATTCTACCCTAGGTAATCTTATTTCTTAGTTCCATACTGTAGATACCCCATCATGCCTATAATCTGAAATAATTTCAGGAAATTCTCCTAACCTATTTTGTCGCCTAATATAAGTGACATTCTGTCAAGCTATTATTCCTCAAATTGTCTTTCTTAGTTTGTTTCATCCAGCTTTCATGAACACCTTTGTGTTGTTTTATTAAACTGTCACCTTACAGCATTACGTACCAAGTGTAATTGTTATAACAATCAGCCTTTTTGCTGAATTGAATCCCAGTAACAATTGATTCTATGACATTAACGTTCACACAAAACTCATTTGACTTCCTCAAGTTTATAATGTTATTCACAAACTGATCAGCAAAATCTTAAAGCATAATTCCTCAATATGGACATAACTGTAGGAACTGAAGAAGATATCGAAAAGAATCTTATTTTGAATTTGCAGTGGGAAATTTTAATCATCCATAAGGTGTTGTTAAATTTTATTCAGTCTAATGTGTCTGTACAAAAATGATACTTTATTCAATTTGTTGACAGTTTTGTTGCTTTTTGTTTTGAAAATTGACACCATTCTTTGTGCACACAGGATTATGGCTTTGGAGAAACTTGGCGCTGTATTTAATCAAATCAGCTACCCACTTCAGTATACACCACGTAAATTTGTCTTCCATCCAGACTCAAATGTTGCTTACATTATCGAAACAGATCATAATGCTTATGCAGACGATGTCAAAACTACACATAAACGTCAAATGGCTGAGGTAATTTCGTTTTAAAGTATGGAGGGTTTATAAAAAAAATACATCTTACATATAGTGTGTAATTTATTATGCAGAAATCTGAATATGTTTGGCCTACGTTTTGCACCTATCAGATGTAGGGTGATACTCAGGACTAGTTTGAAATTTATCCCAGTTTAATGGTAAGGAGTGAATTGGTGGAATGCATCAGATACTATATTTACTTAGGGAGTTGCGTAATTTGGAATCAGCTTGTTTCTGACGAAATCTCAGCTCAGACAGAAAAGACTCGTTTGGTATTTGATAACTTGCGCCATCCGTGGTATCAACTGGCGGGATATCTAACTATCTCTTAAGGGATGAGTATGCTGCACTGCAGTCCTTCTATCTTGTTATACAGCTGGGACCTGGCCGTTGAACGTAGAAGACATGAAGCGAACACAGACGTCTTCGTAGTATTGCTCGCGTTTGGTGGGATCACCATGTGAGGAATGTTGAGGCCATTCTGACGAAGGTACTCGGCAAGAAAAGCAATTCAGTCAATGAAATTGCCAACGTTTAGTGACTGAGACGGCTTGGAAACGTACCACGCATGCTTATCCACTGCCTACGTCGAAGTACAATGCTGGGCAAAGTTGGATTGTGTTGGGATGGGGTTCGAGTTGATTAGACTAAGACATGACACTAATCGATGAAGTCAATGACTTTTGGTCTGAGCTATGATGAGAGTTGTATTCCACCTGGCTGTGGTCATTGTAACGACAGGAACAGCCGAAAGTCGGTCACACTGATGCAGATGTATTTACTCTTTGATGTTTTTTAGAGCTTGAAAGTTTTTGACTAGCCTTAATTTTTAGATTCCTTTACCCACACACCTTCGTTTACTTTGACATGAGTCCTTATCTGTCCACTTTTTATGGTACTGTGAAATGTGGCAACTTGAACCGATGCATCACTTGTCTGCAAGATTTTTCGTTGATTTTTTCTGTCTTTTTGTCAGATGTCAATATCTTTTTATAGTAACCGCACTTTTCAACAGAATAGCAGGAAAAAAATAGTGTATTCGAAAGGTGCTAGGTGCTTAGCAATTTATGTTCTAAACCGTGTTATTAACTTTACAGTCCCACGTCCACTTACCCATTTCGTTTTGTGTTTTGTGTAGCAAGATGAATAACAGATATTGCCAATAATTATTAAAGCTTTTTAACCATAAAAGTGATGTTTTCTAGCCTTTTTTATTTCAAAAATTTTATTTTAAAGAAAATGATAGCCTCTGCACATGGTGGTTCTTCTGAAGATATGACCGTTGCCAAGGAGTCGGCTGCAGCGTTTCTTTCAGAAAATCTTTCCGAGGCGATTTTTGGTGCTCCAAAAGCTGGACCAGGCATGTGGGCAAGTTTGTTACGATGCTTAAAACCACTTGACGGTAGCACTTGTCAGACAATTCGATTTCCACAAAATGAAGCTGCTCACGCTCTAACATTCGTCAAATTTAATAATCAGTAAGCTTCATGACTGCGTTTTTTTCCACAATAAACTGATATTTATTGAACAGGGTGTGAGCAATCGAGAAGTACCCCACCCACCCTCACGCTTCTAGCAGTTACACAAAACCAGTGTTTGTCTAACCTAGCAACTGTGATTTCCCTTTGGTACGTATGAGCACACATATACATTTGTTTTAGGGCTTCATCTTTTACAATGATGTATTGGGCCAAGATTTCTTTTCAAAAAGTTATTCCAAATAGCTCTTGCGTTCATGAATGTTCCTTGTGTGATGTAGATTATAGAACAGATTTGTGTGATTATGCATTTCGACTTCTTTATAAAGTTACATGATGCCGCGTTTAGTTACATTTTATTCCCAGCTTTTGCTCAGCTCCCATTTCGAGACCGGACATTCGTTTGGTTAAACGTTATCGTTTCAATAACTTGGGGATTCGATCCCCTCACCGGGCAGGAAATATCTCTTCTTCGCAAGTCAACCAAGTGACAACGAAAATTCCCGCCAGAGCATTCTAATTAACAATCCCGCAAATTTCATCAGTGAATTTTTCTCTTCCAACCGTCACACTTCGACGTATCTGCGTTAGCCAGGTGTCGCCTCGTTCACTGTACACATCTCCCCGTGAGGAGACGTCTGTGGGATACGTCTCATTGATGATCCACAATCTCGCAGATAGTGATGTAGTACACCTCCTTGGAAGCTACCAATCACCGCTATTTATGGGCATTTCAGACGGAGGCACGCTCCCAAGCGACGCCTGGCACGTAACCATAGAGTAACATTTGGCTACATAAAGAGAGTCACAGTCACTTCAGTTGCATTGATGTGTGTGCCATATCTGATGTGGATTTATACAATAGATTTGTGTGATTAGACATTGTAGCTTCTTTATATAGGTACATGGTGCCATATTTACCATTTAGCTGGTAGTGCTAAAAGTGTAAAACAGAACCTACGTTCATTGCTCTATACTTATGTTACTAATTATCTCTCCATTCATGTGTACTCACAGATCGCATAAAATTTAAGATAACATGTTGAATGGTTATCACTTCACTTTGAGGGATGGAAAGGTCCCTGACTGTTGGTCTCAGTCGTGTGTGTTGGGAGATGTAGATGGTCCACAGGACAAACGGAATCAGTGGTTGAGGACTCTTGCCTGAAATGGCGTTAATGTATTTGCTCTCTGACATCTTCTAAAGCTTGAATATTTGCACTAATTACTATCTTCAGATTGTTTATTCTCCCACACAAATTTGTTTACTTTGATATCACTCTTATTGTATCCACCTTTTCTTTGTATAGTACTATGAAGCATGGCAAATTAAACCGATACACTTGTGTGCAAGGTTCTGCGTTGATTTTGTCAGTCAGTCAGCCAGCCAATGATATCTTTGTAGTGTTAAATATTATTGGGGGTAGGTAGGTACTCTAGTAGCCGATAATTATATCTTAAAGTACAAGTACCTCTGGTATGTAGTAAATTACTTAAAGTTCAACTATCACAGGAAATCGTTTCGTGTCTAATTTCACTTCCCACTTCGTTCCCACTGAATACTTTAAATGTGCTTTTCAGGTGTCTTGATGGGCTGAAAGATTCTAAGTTAAAGCAAGTTATGAGACTTCTGATCTACCCAATATCCATAGTCATTCTTTTGCATGTATGAACGGAGACATTTACAAATCGTGGATTTGCATGCCAGCCCGTCTTGTTGATTATCGTGAGATTGTAGCCTAGCCACTTTGTAAGACCACCGGACCGGTAACCTGAATGTTAATAGCTGAAACAGTATTTGCCACGCAGGTTTTCATCTTTGTGATGATTTTATCACCCAGTATGAATAACTCCAGTTTGCCAAATCATAACAATTTAATTTGGTTGCCTTCAAAGTTCAATTTCGATTTGAATATGCGCCTTTTGGGTTGTTTATTTTTGACTTATTAGAACGATGTAATGAAAATATTTTTTGAATGTCTGTCTTTCTTCATACACTATTATTAGCCCAGCTGAACAATTCCTTGTTGTAGCGCTTGTCAAAGACCTTATCCTCAACCCGCGTTCATGTTCGGGGGGATGCCTGAGAACCTATCGTATATGGAATAACGGTGAACGCCTGGAATTTCTTCATGAAACGTCTGTAGATGACTTTCCAGCCGCGTTATGTGCTTTCCAAGGTCGACTGCTTGTGGGTGTTGGCAACCGTCTACGCATTTATGATCTAGGAAAGAAAAAATTGTTGAAAAAGTGTGAAAATAAGGTATGTTGATGAAGTAAAAACATATGACATATGAAATGCTCGTGATATTCAGAAATTAAGCGTTAATCATATTTAAGGCGATACCGGTAATACGACCTAGCAGTTTATAAGCGACACCAACCTAACGCGCAAAAGGATCTACTCTAGTCACTAATCCGAACGTCAACCACCACCACCACTACAACAATACCACCGACAGGTGAGAAAAAGAAGAGAAGAGAGACCATTGACAAGGCTCTTTTATTTTTTAATGACAGCTGAAAGAGTTATATATGTATATATATTCTAAACGACCTTGAAAAGTACTTATTCCACTGATAAGTTAACAACCAATAAGAGTTCAGCCTCCATAAGTAGTGGGAAAAACAAAAGCTAGCAACGGTGCCAAAAAAGCGTGAAAACAGCACCAACAAAGTTATTTTGAGGTTATAGACAAATATCCAGGCAAAATTAAGGGTATATAACAATACTGTCAACATATCCGTGATTTAAAGCGTCATGTTGAATGTTTCTTGTTTTTTATGACTTCCCACCTGTGGTTCAAGTAATTATGAGTTTCGTACTGCGATTAACAATAGAGCGAAATGGCATCCCCTTTAGCGGTTACATTTAGACAACTTTTTGGTGTACCATATTTTTGACAACGTATATCCACTTGTTATTGTTTTTTTTTTACATCTGAAGAATATTCATTTTTATTTCTTGATTTTACTTTATTTTTGGTACACTGTGAAGTACTCAGTTCGTAAGTTCAGTGAGTAGTGAATAAAAATATGATCATGAAACGAAAATAAATAATCCATCAGGTTCAAATGTACGGTGATGTTCCATGACTGGTCTGCTGCAAGTACTCCCATTTAATGATAGGAAGTGAAGTGTTGAAATATGTTGACCAATTCGCTCACTTGGGGAGTTGCATCAGTCTGAACGGACTGGTTGCTGACGTTATCTCAGCTTGAATACAGAAGGTCCGTTTGAACCATTTGCCAACCTGCATCCTTTTGTGGCGCCGACTGGTGAGATATCCGACTATCTATCAAGCGACGAGTATGTTGCACTGCAGTCCTTTCTGTCCTATTGTACGGCTGTGAAACATGGCCATTAAAAGTAGAAAACATGAAGTTATTACAGTGTTTTGATCACAGATATCTTCATAGCATAGCTCGCGTTTGGTGGAATCACAATGTATGGAATGTTGAGGCCAGTCAGGCGAAGGGTACTAGGCAAGTCGGCTGAGGTTGTGAACTTGGTCGACTGAGATGGCTTGGACATGTACGGCGCATGCTTATCCATCACCTACTTCGACGTGCCATGTTAGGGAAAGTCGGAAGAGGGTTCAGTCTCCAGACCAAGATCTGGCACCAGTCGATGAAGTCTCTTACTGTTGGTCTGAGTCGTATGCGTAGATGTAGACTGTCTGGTTAGAGTGCCTAAGACAACAGGAATCGTTGGTTGAGGACAGTTGATGACATGGCTGAAAATTCGTCACAATGGTGCAGATGTATTCACTCCTTGATATCTTGTAAAGCTTGAATATTCGCACTAACCGTTATCTTCAGATTAATTTTTCTCTCGTGCTACTTTATCTACTTTGATATCATCATCATCATTAACAACATAGGACCAGGCATTACTGCGTAACATTTCGAGTTGCTACAGCTAATATCAATACCTCAAGTAAAAGGCAGTGAAGTGGAAGATGAAGAAAAGAAAACTCAGTCAAAAAATATATATAATGTACTCAAAGAGAGAAAGGAAGAATGACAAAATGGTGAGATTCGGTATAGCGTCGTTAAGATGAGGATAATGTGTGTGTACATCTGCACCACTGACATCGGTTCTCAGATATATCACCTAGAGTCTCCAACTACCGGTTCCTCTTGTCCCGCCGACTCCAACCACCTAGTCTGAATCGCCCACATGGATAAAACCAACAGTCAAAGACTTCATACATTGGTGCCATATTTTAGTCTGGCCACCTTCGGCCTTTTTCCAGCCTGGACCTACCTCAACCAACATTGTGTGATGAGGCAATCAGTGACTAGGAACACGTAACACATGTCCCAATCATCTCAGTCGATGAAGGTTCACAACCGTGTCAACTAACTTACCTCTTCTCTCTAAAACTATACACCTGACTTCTGCATTACTCACGTCGTGACAACACAAAACACGGCTTATACTACAAGGGCAACGGTGGTCAAACACCTCAAGCCTTCTCATGTCTTCCACCTTCAATGGCCATGTTTCACAGCCATATAGTAGAACGGAGCGGACCGCTGTGCAGTGCAGTACACGCGACCCTTAATAGACAAACGGATATCACGGCGACGCCATAGGTGGTGTAAGTTGGCGAAAGCCAATCGAACCTGTTGTGTCCCTGCAGAGATTTCATCACCACTGAGCCAGCCACCAGGGCTAATCCTACTTCCCATGTAAGTGAAGTGGTCAACACACTCAACCACTACACTCTCTACTGTTAGCCGTGGCACCGTTGAAGACCAACCTTGGAGCAACAATTTGCATTTCGATGGTGACAAACGCATTCCAAACATTCTCAAATTCCCACTCAAAGTGTTCGGAAGACTCTGCATCTTGTCAGCGTCTTCACCTAACAGCACTATGTCATCTGCATATTCTAGGTCTAACAACAACTCTCCACCGATTAGGTCAACATCTGTGTAGTCAGGTGACGAGAGTGAGACCTCCATAAGAATATCTATGATAAAATTGAATAAGAATGGAGACAATGGGCACCCTTGATGGACACCACTCGACGACCACAGCTCCCCGTACATCTCACTATAGATAGACTCTAACACCCCCACAAGTGTTCGAGTGGAGAGCCTTCAATAAGGTGATGTACTTGCTCGACACGCCTTTCAGTGAGAGACATTGCCATAAGACTTCTCGATCAAAGGAGTCGAATGCCACCTTCAGGTCGACAAATACAGATAGTGTCGGGCGTTGGTAAGCGCGTCTATGTTCCAAAACCTGGCGTAGTATGAATATTTAGTTGATACACCCGCGACCAGGTCTAAAGCTTGCCTGCCTGGTTTTCTCGGGTTTGCTGTTTCCAAGCTCCATTCAGGTGTCGAAGAATTATGGAGTTTAGAAGATTAGACACTATGTTCGTCAGGTTGATTCCTCTGTGGTTATCACAAGAGGACTTCTCGCCTTTCTCGAAGACTGGAATAGTGAGTGATTTAGACCAGTCAGAGGGGATTGCATTTGATTCCCATGTACTGGTTAACCCTTCCGTTAACCTGACCAAGAGTACCTTACCACCATCCTTGTATACCTGAGGAGTTATTCGTCTAGTCTTGCTGCCCTTCCTTTTTTTAGTTTGTCTACCGCTCTTTCGAGTTCTGCTATTGTTGGAGGCCTATTTCACTGTTGCATTCAGGATCCGACTGGATAGCTGAGAAGGCAATGGTGGATGCAGGTCAGTTAAGCTGTTCGTCGAGGTGTTCCGCTCATCGTTCCAGTTGTCTTCCCTGCGAGTGAATCGCAGATGCGTCCTTCTCCGTTGTAACCTCACTAACTGTTGTTGACCTTTCCCCCAAGTCTGCTAATAAGTCTAAATAACTGTCTACTGTAACCAATCGCTGCTGCCTTTCCATCTCTTTAGCCTTCGCTGCCTACCACTATTCGCGATCGTTGCGTAGACTTTTCCTGAATCTACTTTTAAGTTGTGCTCGCTCTTCATTGTACTCAGAGCCTTCAGGGATGCGTTTACCTGCATCCATTAGTTCAGAGGAAGCTACTGATATCTGCTGGCTCTTTTTAGCCACTATTGTGAAGTCGGCTACTCTCTTCAGTGCTGGTTTTACAACAGACTGGAGATGGCACCAAGCTTCTTCTGGATGAGTAAGAGTCTTTTATTCCAATAACTGCCTAGCCAACTTCTCACTGAACACGGCTTTGCTGTTTCCGTTGTCCAGCAGCACTTGTAGTGGTTTTGTTGCTAAATTTTTCTTACGTCCGTTGAGACGCAGACATATACGGGCTCGGACCAACGCGTTATTGCTGTCCAAACACGTACTCCAGAAGGAGCGGCAGTCTTCCACCGATTCTCCCCAGCGACGACTAATAGCAATGTGGTCTATCTGTCCATCGCCGAGTAGAGCTCGGTGGACGCCACGTTAGACAGTGTCTTTCTTCATGCCTGAAATTGGTGCTGGCTAAAAATAGGCGGTTATCAGATCATAGTTATAATAGACGATCACCGCTTTCTGTTCGTTCAGCCGGGATTCCGAAAGTGCCACCTAAGTGCCTTTCTACCTCACTTAGTTATCCACCTGTGCGTTGAGGTCACCTGCAACAACCACCACATCCGAACGTTTGGCTTTCAAGAGGAGGCTAGACAGTTTATGGTAGAACTCGTCCTTGACTTTATCCGAGCTGCAGTCAGTGGATGTGTAAGCAGAGATTACAAAGAGACAACGACGAGTCCCACTCTTCCTTTTAGTTCTCACTTTGCCATTCAGTAGAATATTGCAAAGGCGACTATCAACTGGGATCCAGTTTAGTAGTGAGTTTTCTGCCCTAGTGCTTAATGCTATGCCTAAACCTGCAAGACCCCGAGAGCTAGCCATCGAATGTTCAGAAACTCGAAGGGTGAATTTTGCGGATTCATCAGATTGACCGGTAGAGGTCAGGTGAATAACCGCACTTGGGTCATGTATGTGTCTCACAAACACAACACACATCCATGGCCTGAGTTTCTAGAGTCTTTGCTAACGAAGCCTGTTGACCAATTTGACGGAGGGTGCGGATATTGAAGGCTCCAATATGTAATTTTGATCGTGGTTTAAGGAGGCCAGGGATGCTGCTTTGTGGACTCAGATGTAGCTAGGAGAAATTGAAGATGATGTAGTATTGTTAATTGAGAGACGTGAAGGAAGATCAGGAGGTAATGATGAGGGAGGTGGATAGCAGTCTGAGGAAACTTGAATGCCGACCAACTTTTGAGGGTGGTTAACACTTCCCAGCTGCCCATACCGTGGAAGGCTATTTCTTCTTAAGGTACCTGAAAGAAATTTGTGTGACCGGAGAGCCCAATGGACATCTGCTTGAGGCCAGTCACACGTAGCCTTTTGAGTATGATTATTTTGAAGTTTTATATTTTTGGGGCCGGATGATCGAAAAGAAACGACAAATGAACCAACACTCCTGCCCGGTAGACTGTGGGGCATGGTGGAGTGTTATTTTTGGGACCGGCCTTTTCTAACCCCCCCTTCTCCTCCCCTCCACTGAGAAGGCAGTATCAGCATGGCACTGCTGGTCATCCAAGGGAAACACCTTATTGCTGTCACAACCCATCCAGCTAGCAGCAGTACGACTTCGTTCTCAGACCCCCATCATAGTGTAGCAATTTACGCCACGACGGTAACTGTTTTTTGTCTTACCACTATCCAACAGACCTTTCTGGTATGGTAGGACCTCGAGGGAACAAGAGTTCCACCGGCAAAGCTCGTTAGGTCATTGTGATATACAAGCCCGACCACCACGTCAAGGTAGCAGTTATCGGTCGGGTATGTTACTGTGATGTATGACAACTTGAACCGGACCACGTGCTTGTGTGTGAGGTTCTACGTTTATTTTTTCAGTCAATTGGTTAGTCATCGGTAAATCGTCTCAATTTAAGTGGTCTAGCTTCCACTTAAAATATATTGACTTGAACACTCACTTCGCATGCAAACTCTAATTGTGACATCGCATTGCCTTGTTTTGATTTTTCTGTGTTCTTTGTATAGCGGTACTTATGTTAACTGATTAGCATCTTCTTTTTAACTTCTGAATAATCAAAACTATTCGGTTTTCATAAACCACAACTGGATTCAACTGCATATGGCTTTTAATTTTAGCACATTCCTACATTAATTAATGGTATATACTCAATTGGTAGTCGAATAATAGTGACAGATGTTCAAGAAAGTGTTCATTGGGTACGTTATCGACCTCGTTCAGATAGCCAGCTGGTTATATTTGCCGATGATACTAATCCCCGTTGGATTACGCATTTGGCAGTGTTGGATGCGTCAACCGTAGCTATTTCCGACAAATTTGGGAATGTTGTTGTTCTCCGTTTACCACCTAATGTGATCGATGATGTTGAAGACGATCCTAGTGGTAATCGTGCACTTTGGGATAGAGGCTTCCTCGGTGGAGCTAGCCAAAAATGTGATGTATGTTCAAGTTGAGTTGAAATTAATTTCTAGGTTTTATGCCATTTCTATGTTGGTGAGGTTGTAACCACTTTACAGAAGGCTACTTTGATTCCTGGTGGTTCTGAAGGTATCGTTTATTCAACACTATCCGGGAGTATTGGGATGTTGGTTCCATTCGCCTCTCGTGATGCATACGACTTCTTCCAACATTTAGAACTTCATATGAGAGCTGAAGGATTGTCGCTGGTTGGTCGGGAACACGTTCACTATCG